GAAAACGTACATCATGGACTCTTCTGCACCATATGCCCTCCGTAACATCCGCCCACAGCTACCAGTGACGCCTTCCAGGTATCTCCAGGGGTTGTTTTAAGATATATGCGCGACAGATGCAGAAGACAGCGTGAAATCGACCGAAGGCGGGTGGAACATCCGACATACGAGCGGCCAACTTAAAACCGGCACCGTGCCCTGCGCGTCATGATCCTGAGCCGGAATATGCAAGAATGAGGTGGTTACATTGAGCAGTCGAGGAGATATCGTCGTCCGAAGTTCCTTTGGGGGCGCTTAGGAGGGGAAAACAGGCAAATGCGTGAGATGCGGCGCGGCGCTCTCACGACAAGCGAGCTGAAACCGGCTGTATGGCGTGGCAGGTGCATTGCGCGAGGTGGACCGCCGATGTTGTGCGCTTTGATCGAGATCGGAAATTCGGCAGCGGTAAAGGGGACACCACTTGTGTGTGTTCACGGCGAGCAAGTATATCGATTGGACGGCAGAGTGGCATAGGATGACCAGGAACGAGAGAGAACAACGGCGTCGGAGTGTGAGACAGAGAGCAGAATGCTGTGGAAGATGGGAGGGAGGATGGCCAGGCGACAAACAGGATCAAATACGGGCGCCTGGTTCCGAGAAGACGGAAATTGAGCTCATCGTCCTCACACCGCTTGCCGGTCCCCTCCCACCGTTCTCGTCGTCACCCTTGCCGTCGAGGACGCTTCCCGCACGACGTGTCCATGGCTTTCCTTGGTCTCTTCTCAAAACGCGACAAGAACAAGGCTCAGGATGCGGCTACCATCCACACCACAAGCGCAGCCTCTGACCTGGATCCCAGCGAGCCCGACTACGTCCTGCCGTCATCGAGCAAGGGTCCCTCCCTCTACTCAGTGCCTGGGGCCTCCTCTTCAAAGCTGAGGCTTGGATTCAAATCAAAGAGGCCCCCTCCCGCCGCGCTCAATGACAGCAACCTCCTTGCGCCCCCATCCTCGACGTTCCAGAGCTTCAGGTCGGGGTCCGAGAACAACCTCACTCCTCCTCCTCCGAAGTCGGCCATCTTCGCGGGCTACGGCGACCCAACGAGCGCACATTCCACGAGGTCGCTTCCAGCACATCCCACCGTCCACTCTCGCTCAAATTCAAAAGAGTACGTCGATCTTGCCAACGCTCCGCCTCTCCTTCCGCCGAAGAACGGTAAAGGCGGCCTCTTCTCCTGGGCGCACAGAGAGCGCAAGAAGTCAAAAGCCCCGCCTCCCCCACCACAGCTGAACGCTGCATCCGCGTCCGACGTTAACCTCGATTCGGACTCGTTCAACCTCCGTGCATTCCGCCATGTTCGCCCCGTTTCTCCGAGCGAGCCACCGCCTTCGATGTTACCCCCAGTCCGTCCTCGCCCACGCGAGAACAGCTTCGCCTCCGATTCCTCCCAACGTATCTCTGTAGCCGCCTTCAGGGAAGCCCAGGCCCGACGCAGCGCCGCCAATTCTCCGACCCCTTCCTCAGTCAACATGCTCTCTCCTGGATCTGCGAACGGGCTCAGGCCGCCGTCGTCTTTCGCGATGCGGAAGTCGAGAAGCATCAGTGGCGACAGTGATACTGACGATTCTGAGGAGGCCGAATCGGAAGCGGACTCCACGTTGAAGCCACGGCGCAACCGGTCCACAAAGCCACGAACCACTTCTCCCGTAGTGACCCCTGGGAAGAAGTCCGTCAGCGAGCTGGGTCATAAGACCTTCAGGACCACGCCGCCACAACCGCCACCCATGGTGAAGTCAGCGACTACTACAACATCGTTCTCGGCGAACGACGCGTCGAGGGAGTCGATGTATGCGAGGCCACGTGCGTCTGCTTCTACTTCGGCTTTGCAACCCAACGCTGCGGCGCGTCAGGCTTCGCTCTTAGTTTCACAGCAAACGGTGCACCCACAACACCAGCAGCAGCGCGGCCAAGCTCAGCCACCGGGGAAGTTCGGTATGTTTGTGTCCACTTACGTGACCTTACGCATGTCGCTTATTCCCCGAACCCCTCACCTCCTCGGTGTCAGCCACCCCTCCTGCGAAACCCTCTCCGAAGACCACCCGTTCCACCTACCACGCCTCCTCCTCTTCATCTTCATCATCCTCAAGCTCCTCCGAGGATTCCGACTCAGATGATGCGCCTTTGGCCACGTTGGTCGGACCCAAACGACCAGGTAGCGCCGCATCTTCCGCGCCTTCCTCTGCATCCCGCGCGCGGGCGGCACCGCGTCTGCCACACAAGCCGCTTGTTGATATCACCGGGATAGCACCTCCGACTCCACCGTCTGTCTTCGGTGATACTGATCGTCCACCGCTGCCTGCGAAGGATTTGCCGCAGCCTTCTCCTCAAGCGCCCCAGAAGCCAGGCCACGCTTTGAAGCCCAGCCTCAACGATCGCCTCGCGCGCTTGGCCAAGAATGCAGCGAAGTCTACGGAGAATGTGGATCAGGCGAAGGATGCGGAGTCGGGGCGCAAGCTTCCGACTCGCAGTGAGACTATGCCCGTCGAGTCTCTGTCACTCCCGCCGAAACCTTCGGACGACGAGCCGTCACCGCCGCCCGCGGCACGACAGTCGCGGAAGGTCAACGGCCGCTCGATGTCTTCCCCCAACGCGACGCTCGACGAAGTCAAGGCTCAGTCAGAGGGTGTTCCGATCGTGCCGATCTCTATACGGACACGCACGCCTCCCCCGACCTTTGCTGTCACATCGCGACCTCCGTCGCAGTTTCCTGCGGATCCGCAAGATTCTCGAGCTTCAGAAGAGACCGTGCGCGTTGGCCGTCAGAGGGCGTCCACGCTTGTGTCAGATGGGGATCTGTCGAGCAGCCAAGGCTTCACTGGAGGAGGGCTGCTTGCTGCTGTATCGCCGTCCCGAGCTACACAAGCGCCCGCTTCTCGTGGCCGACAGCGGTCGAGCACAATGATCACGACACCGTCAATGTCTTCCTCCCAGTCTTCACTTGCCGTGGACACACTGTCGAGACCGATTCTCCGTACGTCGCAGGCATCATCGTCATCCTCCCAGGATCTGGTCCCACCCCGACTTGTCACCCGTTCGAGCAGTCCTGCTTCCGAGCAGAGCACGACAACTTCGGGGTCATCCGCGCCCACAGCTTTGCGATCGACGTTCAAGCCGAAATCGGTGTTGAAGTCTTCGTCGTCATCAGCCCAGTCGTCCCCTGTGGATACGCGGTCTCGTCAAGCAATTTTCCCTTCGGAAGAGACCCCGCCACGCAAGCCTTTCGCTGGTACGAGTTACACCGTAGCCTTACGCGGGAACAGCCCAGCAAGTTCTACCGGGGATTCTAGCAGTGGTCGGACGCCTATCACTCCTGTGGATGGCAGTGATATCGGCACCATGTCCACGAAGCGAGGGCACCGCAAAAGTTCCAGCGTTACGTTCGACGAGCAGAGTCGTGGTCGTCCGGGTTCGCGGGAGGGGAAGAAGGGAGAGGCATCTGACAATGACGAGGCTAGGAGACGCGAGAGGAGACGCAGCGAGGCCAAGGCAGCTATCGAGGTAAGTGTTCTATCTCCAGACTTGTCGCGCAATTGCCCTGACCTTCGCTACCCCTGACCCATTCTCAGCTGGGGAAGATCGTCAATGGCCGCGGCCCGATCATCACGACAGACGACGAAGGCACGCCGGAGAACATGGGCCCGCGCATCAGCATGTTTAACCCTATGGTGGGCCCAGGCATGAACCCCATGGGGCCTCTCGGCGCCTCAACGCCTTCCCCGATGCCGTGGAGCCAGCCGGGGTCCCCAAGTGGGATGATGAACCCCATGTTCCCGATGATGCCCCCTAGCACGGACCCGATGCTCCTCGCAGCGCACCAGCAGGCGATGATGGCAGCCAAGCAAGCGTTCCAGATGGCGTTCGCCCAGCAGGCGCTCGCTGCTGCTAACGAGGAGTGGGAGCGTGGGAGCACCGCCGCGAGTGCGTACGGCGGGTTTAGCGGTATGGGCGGCATGGGCGGTATGCCGATGGGTGGGGGGATGATGCCGGGGATGGGTATGCCGTGGGGGATGCAGATGTTCCCGACCTCGCCGTCGATGTACGCGGGAAGTGTCATGGGGGGAAGCGAGCTCGGTGTCCCGAACCCGGGGCGGGGCGCGGGGTGGGCTTCGCGCACGGCGTATAATGAGCAGGGAGGATACACAGGCAGTGCCGCTGAGCGGGCCTCTGCCGTGTATAGGAGTTCACAGTACATGGCGTTGGGAGGTGGGGGCGGGTTCTCTGGAGCTAGAAGCGAGATCGGTGGTCCAACGAGCCGTGGGCAGCAGCGGCCGCGCACAAAAACTAACCCATCGGATGCGCCTTTACCGTCGCCTGTCAAGAGGGGCGGGCCTCCGCCGTCGAGCTGGAGTACGAGAGGCACTAAACCCGCATAGGTATATCGCTCTATGAGGTGGGCTCTATACTATTGTGTGTGATTAGTCGCTTGCTCAACCTTACGTGAAATCGCGTTATGTTCAGGTCATGACAATCGCTTGTGTTGACTTCTACCCACATGTCGCTTGTCTCCTCAGGCGGTATCGTTTCCGTTCAATACACACGTACAATCGCTCTCCGGGACGACCCTTTACCCTGCTTTCAACATCGTGCACTCGCATTCTCTGATGCCCAACCCCCCGCTCTTTCTTGTTGATGTTTTGTGTCACCTGCCTATATCGCTGGTTCCCGTGGAAGCAAGCTGTAGTCCCGAAGTTAGCCGTATTTGCTGTCCTTCACTCATTCATTATATACCCCCTCACCCCCATCACGATCACCTAGACGAAATTTTGTCATAGTCTTCTACCCCGTTCCTGCCTTCTAGTCTGGACCTTCGCTTGGCTCCATCTCCAATGTTCTGTTCTATCTCAGCGCACGCGTGAACTCTATAAGTACAATTAGTACCCCCATCCTATCAGCTACTCATCGCATACACTCGTACATCACAGACGCTGCCCCGGCCTATTCCAACTCCATGTGAGATACTAAGACTGTCTATAGAAGGAGGAAACTCTTCACTGACTGTCTACCTGCGAAATCCCGCTTATTATCATGCGGCTGCGAGCCGGATGTCTGTGCTCATAGGTACTTGGGCCTTGGTGCCTTGCGGTGAGAAGGGAGATCTGATTGCTTGCGTACTCGCGTATACATAGATCTCCAGCTTGAATGCCTCAGTGGGCACTGGCCGCTAAGTACGGACGACCAAACGGTACAGTTACATAGCAAATCTTGAGCTATAGTACTCGTGTTGGAGCCCGCTATCAGCGATCGGTATGCTATGGGCAGATCACTTGTTTGACAACCAGTAATCAACCCATAGCATAGGAACCGGGTCCGAGACCGTTAAGAAGCTGGACTTGTGCGCTGTCAACTTGAACACGAAGAGTCAAGTCGAAGTCAATTAATTACCTAGAGTCCTAGGCCTGTCGCTAACAGTTTTTGATCGGCGTCTTGCCCGTTCTCCACCAATATGAGGAGCTTGACCGCTTGCGAAAGGAGGTCAATAGACTAGGCGGCCTTGAATCTGCCGTGTGGTTCAATTTGTAAGCCGGGTATGTGTGATGTACTCGAACACGCGTACAGAATGGGCGCTTGTAGACCGACGAATTCTGCCTCCACCGCCAGCTGTTCTAAGTACCCTCCGCTATGCAGAGGGGGCGTACCCCCCTCTATTCGTGTGAGCTTTCTATGGCGCCTGCCCCACGGAATACTTCTTGGAAGGATTCCGCTTTGCTTAGCCAGTTGGGGAGCTCGTCCGCCTTTGTGGTGGTACCCGTCTGGGCTCGAACAGTATCATATAGCCTAGGCCTATCCTGCAGGATTCGAAACTCATCCAATTTGTTGCTAGCCCGCTTGACATCGTCTAGGACGTCGAAATGCTCGTGACCGTGTTCCCGGCATCAATATGACACACGTACGTCCCATGCATACCATTCTGCCTGCCTGACATCAGTCTCTTCGACGGGTTGTCAGGCCATATTGAGAGCTCTGAGAGTGGAGACCTGCTGTTGCTAGGCCGTCCTATGATGGCTGACGCTCGATCCATTTCGAAATTGGCTACTTCGCTGAATGCCACCCTAACCTGACTTAATTGCTTTGTCTGTGTCTGGAGCGGACGATGGACTTTCATGTGGTTCATCCCGTCCGTATGTTCTACCGCATGTTAGGGGATGTCCCTGTAGCGCAAACAAGGAGTGCCGGACTCCCTCGTTCGAACAGGGAGAAGACCTCTTGGTCTCGCTGTTAGGACATCACAATTTGTCCTGCGCCCTCATAGGGCAGCATGCCAGATTGGCCGTGTCAACGCCGCTATTCAGAGTCTGGGTCGAGACATTCTCATTCTTTATACTTGCGATGAGAGCGGGTTGTGCTCACAATAACCGATGTTTGTGGCTTTCGGGACCAACATCGTGCAACAGCCTGCTATACTCCGCCGTCGTAGACTCGTCGCAGTGGTCACAGTTGTGATACAGCCTGCGATACAAGGGTGCTACATCGGAAGCGTTACCTGGCTCGTTTCGCTTGCGCCCAGAAGGCCAGTAGTGCCCTCGGCTCTCTGGCTCTGCCTGCGGTTGGCATACTCTGTATCCGTGGCTTATAGCCAATTTTTTCAAAGTCCAACATTCCTTGTGAGGCACCCGGGGTTCGGGAAATGTATAAAAGGAGGGCGTTTTCGAGCTCAAGTCCTCCATCCCTCCCCATCGTTCCTGGTGAACGTACTCCCCCCGCAGCACAGCCATTCCTATAACCACCATCACCACACCACATCCCCTTTACCCACCATGGTCTCTGCTGCGGCCTCCATCCCCAACCTCGCCGGTACCGTCGTCGACGACCGTTACGAGCTCATCCAAAAGCTCGGGTCCGGCTCGTATGGCGTCGTCTACAAGGCGATCGACCTCACGGACGGCATCTTTGTCGCGGTGAAGGTCATGAACCTAGCTGGCCGGAGCGACGCCGATCGTAAAGTCATTAAACGAGAGATCGAGTTGCATCACATCGTCGGCGACACCAAGGGCGTGGTCGGGTTTACCGACCTCGTCTTCGACGCCGACTACTGCT